ACTTGGCATTAAGCAAGGTCAAAACACCAAATCAGAATGCCTCCAGCCTCTAGGAACGAGTTTGGTTAACACTGAGCTACTTCAGCAGAGCCCCATCCAACCTTCGCAGAAGAGCTCAGGCTGAATAACAGTTTCGTCCATCAAAGCTGGGCACCCTGCCCTTCCCCAGTGTAGCTCTCCAGATACAGTCTCCATCTCTGGGCAGCTGCCGGCCTGCGTCACCGTCTGTCAAGCTGGCCCTCCACCCACCAGTGAAAATGAGCCTGTGGTTTATTACACCCAGAAAAGGTGGCCGGAAAGACTGGGGTTTTCTAGATCAATGGCATTGCATTTCCACCTCATCCCTCTTGCTGGAAGCTGTTGCTGCTCACACCTGCTGAAAAATGTACTTGTGGAAGAATCTGCATCTGTAGCCAAAGATGGCAGCCACGGCAGTTCTTCCTGAGCTGGCTGCCTCAGGGAGGCTCCTGCTTTGGGGTTGGTTTTACTTTTTTGTATCATTTGGATTTTTGGTTTGGTTTGGTCCTTAGCATCAAACCCAGGGCCTCAGTCATGTTAGGCTTTACTACCTTACGCTATGCCCGATAAGTAAGGCTTCTGAAAGCTCATCTCCATCTGGGTACTTCATCTCTGCCATTACACTATCCCCAAATCACCTGGGAAGAATTCACCAATAGGTAAGAACTGGACCAAGCTGACCTGGCTGTCCCCTTGTGAACTATGGCTGTACATCCACGTGATGGAAATAACTAGAATATAGTGTCAATTTGCTTCATGTCATAGATATTCAGATGAAGGGAAATCGGTGTGTGGAGGTGATGCTGCCCCTGACACCCAATGAGCCACATTCATATCAATTGGTTTCTATCTTAGGGCTGAATATTGCCATCTGGTGGAGAGTAAGGGGTGCAGGAGGTAGAAGGGGGAAATAGAAAGAAGGCTTTTCATTAAACAGAACATTTGGCAATAAAACGAGGATTATGATGAACTTGTCCTTATGTACCATTTAATAGGAAAAAAATGAAAGAAATGCATCTCATCCAGGATACTTCAGACCTCCATAAAGCACGCAATGTGGCTGCTGCAGCCCTATTAAGCTAATCAGGTAACATTTAGGACACTGGACAGAAACTTACTTTTCCCATAGTGTGAGACTCAAGTAACTTGAGTGTTCTTTTTATAAAACACAATACCAATTTGGGGTGCTCATAATGGAACCAAGTCATGCAATGCTCCTGGCTTAGCCAATTTACAGTCCAACACAAGAGCCTATGGGCACAGCCTCTCTGGAAGACCAGTAAGACCAATAGCACAAGACCAGGCCTCCGTGGACCCTGGGCCTTTTGGTATCCTGAAGCCATAGGAAGTAACTCATATCCCAGTCCATTCGCTGTACATTTCTACTGGTACCACAAAAGAGAATTATGCCAAAAGAGAGAGGGAGAGAGGGGTAGAAACAACACCCCTGACCTCCTTCCAAGCACCAGTGGGTCCGTGGAATTGTGCTGGGCACAGAGAAAGCCTACTATTTTTAGGAGCACACCTGGGCAGGGAAAGACTCAATTCAACACTTGCATTATCCAAACCACTGCACTTTAGAGCACTCTTTTGATCCTCAAGCTATTCTCTACTTCCTTTTCCTGTTTGTACTTTCAAGATACTAATTTGTTTATCCATGCTTCGGTGAGACCTGAGTTTACAATGGTCAATAAAATGACATTGCTGTTAAACGATGCACGCTTTCTGCTGAGGAGCATTGCCAAGCACAGGCGAGGGGCCTCCTCTCTCACAGAGCTGGAATGCTTTCCGCACTGCATGGACAAGTCCCTGGAACACGCTTAATTGTCTGTGGCACAGACCACTGTCCACAGTGTGCTGGGCCGAGACAGTGCAATTTGCCTGCCTTCAAATTTCTGAGAAATCTGACTAAAGCTATGCTATCCAAGGCCATAAAGTCTATTTCCATCCATTAAGCAAGCCGGGAAATCATCTCTTCCTTTCTCTGGTCTTCTGTACATGAATTAACATATGAAACAGGCAGAGTAGAGATCATGAAGTAACTCTTTTTACAACTTTGGTTTACCTACTTTAAATCAAGCTCATACTCAAACATCAATGATGCATTATCAGAACATTGTGTCGTGGTCTCTCTCTGTCCTTAAGAGAAACGAGTCCTGCATCATTGGCATGCTTTCTAAATGGACATAATAATCTTAAACTTATTGGAGATGCAAAGGAATGTGCCACTGGAGAGGAAGTAGCTCATTCTAAACCACAGCCTCGCTACCACCCTGCTGCACTTCTAATGCTTCAGGCTGACTTGGGTTCTTAGGTAGGAACAAATCTCTTCCAATAGCCAAAATCTTTATTCTGACGGCATTTGCCTCTCCTGCCGAGGTCTTCACCTTGCTTCCAAAACCTTCTGGTATGTCTTTCTTACTCATTCTCATCAAGGCCTTGAGCTTCCAGGAGAACATCTCCCAAGGGCCCCTCCTCTCTGTCCTGCTGCTTCCTCTGGTCAAACCCACAAGGATGCTCTGCGCCACTGACTTCTGCTCGCAGACACGGCACTTTGGATTATCTTAGGCCATGTATGTGTGAACATGAGGGTGAGTGTGAATGAGTGTGTGTGTGTGTGTGTGTGTTAGTCAGTTTGATCTGTTATAACGAAATCCCACTGACTTTTATAACTTACAAGCTACTAGAGACTGGGAAGTTCGAGATCAGGATGGCAGACTGAGTGTCTGGGGTGAAAGCTGTCCTCACAGGTGACATCTTCTTGTAAAATCTCACATGGCAAAAAGGGGTAAAGGGGTCTCTCTGGCCTCTTGTTCAGGGGCACTAATCCCATTCGTGAGGGTTCTACCTGCATGACCTCGTCACCTCTGGAAGTCCCCACCTCCCCAAACCATCACCTTGGAGAGTAGGATTCCAGCGTGTGAATCTGGGGAAGCCATGAACATTCAGACCAAATCAGCGTCTGTGTGTATGAGAGAGAGAGACAGAGAGGAGGGGAGAGGGAGGGGGAGAGGGGAGCAGGATCGGGGTAGAGACGGAGGCAGAGAGAAATTTCTCTAGCTATGTCTTCAGATGCCAGAATTCTGTTATTTATCTTTTATATCTCTGCTGGCCTGGGGCCTCTCAGTCAGTAGATGGTCAAAACAATGTGATCAAGTGACCTGGGTGATGGAGAGAAGGGAGGGCCTCTCATGAAATTTTAAAAGTCACCTCCAGCGATGCCTCTCCCGTGAAATCATCGAGGACACCCGGCCCACTTCAGCTGTGTGAAAACTCCCTTTCCTTTGAGCTTCTGGATCCCTGGGCCTCTTGCTTCTTGGTGGCACCTAGAACACCTGCTCAGCCTGGTGACACACCTGCTTGCGCGCATTCCTCTTCCCGACTGTATTTATGAAGTGCTACTGTGTATGGACATCCTAGTAGCTGTCATGTATTCCCTCTAGTCCATCAGTGATCACCATGGAGCTGTTTCCATCTCCACTCTGAAAAGGAGAAAACTGGTAACTTACAAAGATTAAAACAATATACGGTGAGTGAGAAGCTGAGCTATGATGGTGTTAGCCAGGTCAAACCTCTCCCCTCTCATAGTATTTTCCTTCAGAGAAGAGAGGCCATCGTATCCCTAACACTCCCCTCGCTGTCTCCTTACCTCTTCTTCCCCCAGAGACAGTGCATCTCCGTGTGATTGCTTAGTTTGGAAGGAGAAACTGGCTGATACTTTTCTCTTCTTTTCTCTTCTCTTTTCTTCTTTTCTTCCCTTCTTGTCAATTCTTCTTGTGCAGACAACACAATTTTTCTGCTCCCAAACACCATAAGTCTTTTGGAAGTAGCTTCAGTTCTTATGGCTAAAGGCATGGGGGCCTATAGTTGGAGGAGGGGAATACAACCTCAAGTGCTACAATATATGGCATAGTACATCTGATCTTAGGAGAGAGACAGGAAGTAAAATGTCAGAGGAATAAAACGTATATAGAATAATTGAGCCAGAGAAATAGCTTTGAGCTTTGGTTCTTAAGAGTCTGAGCAGGTGATGCGTTTTAAACTTGGAAGCATTATTGTACACAATGGTTAATACAAATGTGCAATTGGATTTTAATGGCTGCAGCCTGGGTGGGAGCTTTAAGCCTAAGGCTACATAGCATTCTGACCTTGGTAAGTGACTGCAGCTTATGTCGGATTTGTCCACAGGCCATTGACTGTGGCTGACTGCACAATGCAAAGCACTGATAAGGTGCATGGGCCTCGGCAGAAGAGCCAGGCAGTGCAGAGATCGCATAGGCACAGGGACCACACAGCCTCGCAAAAGCACCAGGGCTCCAGTAGTGAAGGCAGGGCACCCCAGCCAGAGTTCAGCAGGCTCCAGAATGGAACCTCTTGGAGCCTCTTGAGCCAGTGCTGGCCTTCCAGGGCTCAGCAAAGATGTGGCTATTTTATCATGTGAAGGTGGCCTCTGAGTACAGGTGTCCCAGTGCCCTTGACCTACACAATTACAAGATTTTCTAAGCAGGTGCTGCTAGGGCAATGATTCAACCATGGAGAAAAATCTCCTAGGTATTAGAGTTCAGAAGCCATTCACTGTTTTTAAATTACAGTGCCAGAGAATTCCATTTGTATTACAGGGCACTAAATGAGGTTCTAGATTTAAATTGTTAGTGCCAGGCATAAGAAGGCAAAGCAAATGGGAAATGCAAATTAGGAGGTGATGAATGCACTGAATGGCAAAGACAGAAAGATGGACTACTGCAGATGGGGATTGCAATCTTTGCAAATTTATAAACATTGCAAGGAGGCAGCAATGCCTCAAAAGCCACCCTATGGGAGTGGAGAGGTGCACATAGGGAGTTTCCTCCTAGACATGGTAAATGCCCTTGCTAGGAGAAGTTTTTCCCAACTGAATTTAAGTTCAGAGCTCATGAATTCTAGATAACCAGCATCATCTGGAGAGGACAGATGTTCGATGCTCTTCTTCAACCACCTTCTCCCAGATTCATCTGATTCCCTAGTTTTGTGTGCAAGACTATTTTGCTAGATTCTAGAAACCTGGTTTTGTTGGAGAAAGCTTCCCTTGGAGTTAAAGATTAGTTGTTTTGCCCAGTTTGGTGAGTGTGGGGTAAAGGCTGTGATATCGTTACCTAAGTCCTGAGCTGAAGGTCTGACTCTGGGGATCCAACAAATCAGGTCCAGTCACTTGCCCCCAAAACCAAACAGAAAAGCTAAGTCTCTAAAGCATGGAAGGAATCCGTGTAACTACACTGGAAGGACAAGAGAACCCATGTCTTCAGCCCTGTCTTCAAAGTGCAGACAGGGACTTTGAGGTTTTATAGAAAGAGGAATGAGGACAATGGTGGAAGGTCCACATATCCAGAGAGGCCCACAGCTGCCAATGCAGGTGATATTGATCAGGTGTGGTCTGTCCATCATTATCTTAGGATTGGCCAACTTCCGAGATAGGAAGTTGCTGTTGCCTTGAGGGGTAGCTGCCACCCATCACAAGATGTTCATCAGAGCAGACCTTGTTCCTAGCATCTAAAGTGACTTGGAGAAAGGAGACAGAGACAACATGGAGGCTGAGACACTAGGTCTTTAATCTTGCTTTTAGCCATCCACTGATATTTGTAAGCAAAAGTGAAAAACCTTGAGTTCTCATTACAATGTGGGCCTTATTGACTCTTTAAATTCTTTTAAAAGAAGGGCAGTGGTCCTAAAATTGCTCTAAAAAATAGAGTCTTAATTCAAATAATAAGTGTTGAAAAGAATGTAAAGAAAGTGAGGAATCATAAAAGAAGGCACTTAGGGAATCTGACTGAAAAAGCATCAACTAAAGGAGATATATACATATATATTCATGCCAAATAGAAAACCAACAGGTCACCTTAGGGTTCCCAAGCCTTTGTGGGGGTGAGAGAGGACTTCCAAATCAAAACAATTTTCATAATGATGGTAAAATGGTATTTGTCTTTTCTAATTTGTTAACATTTATGCTGATTGGGGCAGAGGTAGTAACTGCTGGCTTCTGGCACAAATACTATCCACAGTACTGGAGGAGTTAAGGTTAAGATACCCAAATCCAACACCTTAATCTTTGAGAAAATATCACAAGGACGACGTCCTTTCTGACCTTCTCCTGCCCTTCATCCTTAGAACACACTATAAAAGCTAGAAAGAATCCTCTGACTTCCCTCTAAAGGAGGTCATGAGGCCCACAGGTGAGAGATGCCCACCCTATACCCACAGGTAAGGAGCATCCTCATCTGGGAAGACACAGGAACATAGAGAAGAATCTGAAGGAACGCTTGCTTGGTGAGTCCAGGTAGTTTATCACCATCACATCACACCCCTTTGTCCAGTGGTACTGCTCGACAACCATCCCCTTCTTCATCCAACTTGGCATAGAAGTTGATGGTGGCCTACAAGTACAGGTGCTCCAGTGCCCTCGACATGCAAGCTTCCCTGTTTCTTTGGGTCTTCATTTACTTATGAAGGCTTTTGTATTGCAGAAAATCTTAAATCAATTTGTATGTTCTTTTCCTTATTAATCTGTCTTATGAGAGTCTCAGCTTGAACCTTGCAATGGATGAGAAACAGATCTTACTTCTTCTCCCCAACTGTACTGTCAGTCAGTGAATTCTTTGCCACCACACACTCACAAAAAAAAAAAAAAATTAAAAAGCCACATTCATTTGAGAATGTCCTTAATGAAATTGTGCAAATTAATTTTATTTAATCTCACCCATTAAGTATTCATCCTTTTAATATTCAATGTGACAAAATGGGAATCTGCATAGATTATTTTTGCAGTCTACCCAGGTATGAAGTTGCCTCCAGGCCGAGCCCCATGAAATTGTTTACAGGATTAGGAGCCAAACTAGCCTTTTCTTCTCCTCTTCCTCCTCCCTGTCCTCTTCCTTTATTTTAATGAAGATATTTTAAGGGAAATCCTGTGGGTATTTTCCAACTATTTCTTCAACAACCAACCAGTAGAGCCTGTCAGCTCAAGGAAAACAGCCACAATAGTTGTCACCAGTGATGACATTCTGGCTTTTAAGCAAAATTTAATATTTTTTAAAAAATGTATTTTCACCATCCTGAGCTTCACAGACTTTCCTTGTGTGATGGGTGGTGAAATCAACAAATGTGTCTTTCTAATATTGTACAATGAAAAGTATCAGTAATGGGAAGATCTGCCTAAAGTGAACCAGTATTTTCCAAATGGGCAATGTGTGATGATGCTAAAGTCATACAAGGGCAAGAAATCCTTTTAAAATGCAAGATGCTTCATCAGGTTTTACCATGGTGAAGTAGAAGTTCACATGTTGCAACTAACTTTTGTGAAACTACTACCTGAGGAGTATTAGCTCACTATCAAGAAAGAAAATCCCAAATTATCTGAAACAGATACAAAAATACACCTCCCAGTGGTGTAAAAGTCTGCCTGATTCTCTCTGTCAGAATTAGGACATTGACTTGCTTGCAGATTTAAGCCACATTCTCCAAAATCTCCCAGTAGGTGTGGCAGTACATGCCTATAATCCCAGGAACTCAGGGGGCTCAAAAATCCAAGCCAGGGCTGGGATTGTGGCTCAGCAGTAGAGCACTCGCCTAGTACCTGGGAGGCCTTGGGTTCAATCCTCAGCTCCACATAAAAATAAGTAAAGAAAGGTATTGTGTCCAACTACAACCAAAAACTAAATATTATTTTAAAAGAAAGAAAATAAGTTCCAGTCCAGCTTCAGCAACTTATGAGGCCCTGTCTTAAAGTAAAAAAAAAAAAAAAAAAAAATTAAAAGGGCTGGGTAAATTAAAATGTAACTCAGTGGTTAAGTACCCCTTGGTTCAGTCCTAGGTACAAAAAAAAAAAAAAATACACCTTCCTTCTTTTCCCTTTGCATATCTATGAGAGGTCTATGAGAGGTTGGACTTCTTCAGGGTTTTCAAAGATGAAAATCAGGTGCAGCAGATCAAATGCAAAAGCTTATATAAGAATACAGTGTCTTCTATTAAACCAAATGCAAAAAAGATTAACACACACAAAATACACTTTTTTCACTACATATTAATTGACATAATAAATATTGTATTTATTGGATGTGTATAACGGTAAATTCCACATGCACTCTGAAATTATACATAAAACTAATTAGCATATCTGTCATTTCACATGATTTCTTTGTGATGAGAACAATCAAAATCCACTAATAATGTATATTATTAAATGTATATTTAACAATAATGTATATTTTGAAATATTTCAGGATTATATTTGAAAATATACACTATTATTAAATGTGGTCACCAACTCATGCAATAGATCACTAAAATTTATTCCTCTAATTCAATTGAAATTCTAAACCCTTTGACCAACATCTCCCCCTTTCCCATTTTACAAATAAATGTTATCTATAAGTTGTAACTTGAGTTTATTTTGTTATGTTTAAGAGAATGAATAAGTATTTTCAGTGTTTAAGTTTTGATTTCCAATATA